TCTATCTATCTATCTATCAATCTACTTATCTATCTATCTATCTATCTATCTATCTATCTATATATCTATCTATCTATCTATCTCATACTCTCTCTCTCTCTCTCTCTCTCTCTCTCTCTCTCGTTCTCTTTCTCTCTTAAGCTCTCTCTTTATATATAAAATAGTTATATACTAGCGAGCAAAAGAAACGAGAAATCTTATTTACTTTTGTATAGGTGATCTGCTTGTTTTCCTTTTTTTACTAAAAGAGGGAGCTTAAACACAAACTGTTTTCTAGAATTATGAAGAAACTTTGACCATCACTGTATATCACATTTCAACAGAATCCATTTTTAAATTCCAGTTAATGCATCAAAATGCTCAGCAGCGGGTATAGCTATATCTTGGATGGCCACTTCCAGTTCATGTGCTGTTCTCAGCCTTCGTTATCTCCCCTCAAGGTGCCGTTTAATTTCGTCCCAAAAACACTCAATTGGGTGTTAATGCTGGCTAAGGGCAGGGTGAGGCTGCAGGATGATGCTATGGCGTTGGAGGAAACCTTACGTAGCACAGGCAGTGTGAGCACGACTATTATCTTGCCGGAACCGGAAGTTAAACTTTTGTCTGAGGAGAAGCTCCTAGGAACTGCTACTATGCAGCAGGCAGCATTGCCACCTTGACCTCGACTTGGCCTTGATTTGTGGTTCTGCTTGCCTTTATAATAATAGATAGCGTTTGTATAGCGCAAATCCCAGCTCAACAGCAAGCTTCATGCGCTTCACTATCTACACTGTTACCCCCAGCAGACCTGAGAGCATTCTGAAACAACCTCAACTTCCGAGGAAGAATTCAGTGAAAATGGTCATTTATAGGCACTAAAACACTAACATACTGACAAGTTCTTTCACTGTCTATGGCCGGGTACCCATTCCCACCTGCGTGAATTCAGCAACATTTGTGTCAAGTGGCTTTCCCAGGGACACAACGTCGGACTCGCGGCTCTAACCACCGAACCCGTAACCTAAAGAATACGAGTCTGGCAGTCTAACCACAAGGCCACCGAGGCCACCACACTATACCACCCCTGATCATGACGCGATGTCCTTCCCAACGATTCCTCTTTGTGACATAGGTATCATAATAACGTTCGCCTCTCTCTCTCTCTCTCTCTCTCTCTCTCT